AGGGAAGGGGCTGGGGAGAGGGACTGTGCGGGAAGGTAAATAAATCCTGCCCAAGGGCCGGGAGCCGCTCCAGTGCTGGGGTCTTTAAATGATCTTGGGGGTGGGAGGCAGGTTCTAGGATGTCACCTGAAAGGCATCCACAAAGTGACGAAGTGAATGGGCCCCCTGCGGTAGGGTGGGAGAGGCGAGGTGAAAAGCAAATACACCTAGATGCAGATTAACTGTTCTGGAACTAGGTTTCCTAGGGTTCGAGAGATTCCAAAGCCAAGCTCCCAAAACGTTTAGGGCCCTGCTGGTCCCATTGCCTCCACAGAGCTTCCGCGGGGCATGTGTATTGGGGGGGGGGGGGGCTGGCCCCACTGAACTCAAGGGACTGCGCGAAGGGGAAATGTGACTCGCTTTCCCAGAACATTAGAGAGGAAGGAGAAGGAGGGGAAGAGGCACCCCAAGCGCAGGAGCTCATGGAAAGGCTTGAGACCCTTCCCCTTTCATCTGAGGTGCGCAAGGACTCTCAACATGAGGATACCTCGGAGAGGCAAAGACCCCATCGCCCGAGCCCCACCGTCTTGGCGGGAGAAAAGGCGCCCCCCAAGGAGCATGTGGAGAGAGGGAATGAAGACCACCGCCCCTGGACATGCTGAGGGGCAGAAACGTGGACCTCCAAATATTGGGGAAGGAAGCCCGCACTCCCCTCTATGGAACATGGGGTGCTGGGAGCGCGACCCCCGAGAGCTCCCCGAATCCAGTTTCGCCGGGAAGAGGGATCGGGTCCCCAGGGGCCCGGCGTGAGCTCGGTCCCGGCTGGACGGCCGCGCCTCGGGGGTCGGGGAAAGCCTACTGGGGGTCACCGCGACTCCCCCGCGCCCCCCGCCCGGCCATATTGAGTGCGTGGGGAGGGGGCGCGCTGTAGCCAGGGGCCGCTGCGCGAGGCCTCGCCCTCTGCCGGCTCTCTCCATCCTGGCCCCCGCCCCGGGACTCACCCTGGATCCCCCGGGGCCCGGACCCGCCGCTGCCGGCAAGCAGGAGA